ACTGTTCCCACACAGAAAATGAGCTCCACAGGAAGTCCTGGTCTGAATATAAAGGCGAAATATATAAATGAAACTTGTAAAAGACAACACAGGAGGGAATCCTCAACACTTGGCAGAGACAAACTCCTTTATGTCTAGTGAGGGAAATGTAGACTGAAGACTGACACACAGACTTAATTTGAATTGAAAATTAATGTTCGGCAAAAGACCATCAACAGAGCTGGAAGAGAAGCCAGGCCCAAGAGGGGTAAGACACCTGCGTGTCTGAAGAGGATCCCACCAAGATGGACAGAGAAGGCCTACAAACAGAGCCCACACAGCTGGACAACAGAAGAGGGCAAGGACGGAGCACGCGCTCACACGGGAGGAGACCCTCAGGCCCGTGAGCTTGGGGCGCAGGGTCCCCAGCCGAGGGAGCACACCAGCAGGACTGTTAGAGGAACAGGCCAGCAGCCGCTCTGCAGCTGAAGAGGGTGGACAGCGGCTCCAACCTCGATCCCCAGCTGGTGGATGTGCAGACTGGACAAGCCCTGCGAAGCGCCGGGCAAAGCCACCCAACCCGACCCACGCTAGCCCAGGACCAGCACTTGCTCTCCTGGGCACATCCCCAGCAGGAGCGCACACCCCACACGCCAGAACAAAGTTCATGGCAGCGCCACCCAGAAGGGCCAGAAGCTGGAAACGACTCCAGCACCTATTTGCAAGGATGAACACCGTGGGTCCCTGTACAGCCACAAAAGCGGCACTGCCAGGGACAGCGCTGAGAGGTCTCTGGAGAGACAAGCTGCAATAAGCCCCCTGCCACATGCAAAAGGGATAATGCTTTGGACAGAACAGAAGTAAGGAGAGCATTTCCTCAGGGAGGTTCAGGGTCAGGTGAAGGGATGGACAAGGAGCTTCTGCATAATGGCCAGACCCTGCACTGACATGATCGCTTTGTAAGGACCACACTTCTGTAGAGATAAATCCAGAAAGGATCACAGCCCAACCCAAGTGTAGAGCACAGAGCTGCAAAACTAGGAGACAAGGTGGGACCAAATCAGGTGACCTCGGTCAGGCTTGGAAGTCACATTTTACACAACACCAAGCACAATCCATGAAAGAAAGGACTGGTGGGCTGTACTACATCCAAATTAAAAACTTGTGCTCTGCAAAACACATCAGTAAGAGCTGAAAAGAGCCAGCCACAGACAGGGGAGAATATCTCCAGACACATATCAAACAGGAGACTGCATCCAAAGCAAAAATACACCTGTTCAGATGTCAGAACAGATGCCTCATGGAAGAAGATACAAAGGTGGCAAATAAGCTCACGGAAAGACGTTCAGCACCATGTCACTAGGGACCTGCAAATCAAACGAGAAACACCACACACCTTCTGGGATGGCTCAGCCCCAAACACTGCGCAGACAGGATGTGGAACTGTCGCTGGTGGGAATGCAAAGTGGCAAGCTCTTCTTATCAGATGAACACACGCTTCCATACACAGCCACACAGCACACACTTTGGCACTCACCCAGTGAGTTACAGATTTCCTCCACTCACAATCCTAGTATATCATCTTGATTCACCATTGCCAAAACCTGGAAGCAACCAAGATCCCTTCAGCAGGTGAGTGAATAAAAGAACTGGTGTATCCACACGATGGAGTACTTCCAACAAGAGGGATAAAAAGCCTTCAACACACGGAGTGCAGAGGAACTGGGAGTGCCCACTGCCGAGTCAGAGGCCAGCCTGAAAAGGCTCCATCCAGGCCGAAGCCAGCTGCAGGAGATGCTGGAAAGGGCAGAACCTTAGAGACGGACAGAGACTAGTGGTCACCAGGGCAGAGTGGGAAGGGAAAGAGAGCCACAAACAGGGGACATTAGGGCAGTGAATCATTCTGCACTCACCAAAATTCAGACCATATGATGCACAGGGTGCCTTCACACTGACCATGAGCTTCAGAAAATAATAATTAATCCACCTGAGTTCCACAAGCGTGGCATACCAACGTTGAGACCTTAAAACAAGGAAGCAGGGGCTGGGGGTGAAGGGGCCTCTGCACCACCTACTCACCTCTATTAAACCCAAGACTGCTCTGGAAATAAAACCCTCCCATTTCTCCCCCCGCCTTCTGGTACTGGAGATTGAACCAGAGGTACTTAACCACTCAGCAACATCCCCAGCCCTTTATTTTTTTGAGACAAGGTCTGAGTTGCCAAGGACAGCCTTGGACCTGTGATCCTCCTCACTCAGCCTCCCCGGCAGTGGGAATTAGAGGCATGTGTCACCACGACCAGCTCGTCCCTTTGTTTCACCTCGTGGGACTGAGCCCTGCAAGCTTCTCTGTGCCCATGTTGTATTTCAACAGCAGGAACTGGCCTGAGAGTGACCATGAAAGCCCCAACCCAACCAGTCAGCTAGGGGTAGGGGCCGTCTGCACAAAACTGCCCCAGACCTGTGCAGGCAGAAGCCACCTGAGGGGAGGGGGACAGTAGAGGACAGGAAAGGCAGCAGAACACAACAGACACGAGTATGGCAGTATGTAAATCAATGGAAGTGTAACTGATGTGATTCTGCAATCTGCATACGGGGTAAAAATGGGAGTTCATAACCCACTTGAATCAAAGTGTGAAATATGATATGTCAAGAACTATGTAATATTTTGAAAAACAAAAAAAAAAAAAAAAAAAAAACCGAAGCCTAAAAAAAAAAAGGCAAGCAAAGAGAGAAAATAAACAAAAAGGTAAAATCCATTGAAAGCAAATAGAACTTGACTGCAAGCCAATTAACACCCAATTGAAAGAATGAGAAATTAAAAAAAAAAAAATTTACACTTTTTTAAAATATTTTTTTGTTATACATGGGCAAAATGTCTTTACTTTGTTTATTTTATTTTTATGTGGTGCTGAGGATCGAACCCAGTGCCTCACATATGCGAGGCAAGCGCTCTGCCACTGAGTCACAACCCCCGCCCTGCACTTTGAATTTTAGTTCATAATGACAAGAAAATTTGATTTTGGACTTTTAATTTCTTTAGACATAAACTTGCAAAGACATTTAACTTGGGGACTTTAATTATTATCTGGGAAATTCATCGTGGAAATGCATTCAAATCGGGAGCATCTCTAAGTGGCTGGTCTTTTTATTGGGTGATCTCAATGCTGCCATTTACCCTCACTGCAGGGCCTCTGATAGCTGCAGGATTGAAAGGGGGGACAGATCTGGAGGGATGGACCAGGGACGAGGCTTCAGCAGCAGGCGGAGGAGCCCCGAAACCCACACACGGTTCTGAGCTGACACAAGCTGCGCCATGCTCCACAGGTCACTGAGATCGACCAGCAAAGGTGGACGACTGGGGGAAGTGGTCCCTGGAGGGTTGGGACCGCCCTGGGGGCGACTGGTCTCTCCCCTAGGATAACATCCAACCAGAGACATGACTGTAAACTCATCGGTTAAGGACAGTGATCTGACAACCGAACGTGGGAGGAAGTGTTACCAGAGAGCCTCCCTCCCCTGACCCCATGCCTCCACGCAGGGGCCTCCCGGGCCCTCTCTCAGCCCAGCCCAGGTTCAGGACAGGAAGAGCTCATCCATCCACCTGGGATGAGGGGGTTCTCTGGTGAGGAATGGGGCCTGGGCTCTCGGCCCTCCCCTGCCGCAGACTGGAGTCGGAGGCACCGACAGGCACGTTCCATCCCTGTGGTTTGAATCCACTCACCCAAAACGAAACAGAAGGGAAAAAGCCACTGGTGTCCCCCCTTGGAGGACACAAGGGAACATGCCATCATTATATCCTGCCTTTCCTGCGCGCACTACACCTCAAGGTGACCAGCCGATGGGAAAAGCCTGAGTCACAGAAGCACTACAGTTGGGATCCGGAATGTCCTGTGTTGAAGGCTTGGTCCCCAGTGCAGCAACCTTCAGAGGTGGGGATCTGGAGAAGGGAGTGGTCACAATCTGACCACATCAGTGGACAGTGCATTCATGGTCATAACTGAACCCACTCCTGGAAGTTGCAGGCTATGGGGCCTAGCTGGAGGAAGATTATGGTGGGCATGCTCTTAAAGGGCACCTCTCGTCCCCAGCCCCTTCCTGTTTCTCTTCCTGCTTCCTGGCTTCCAAGAGGCAAGCAGCTCTTCCCTGCCACACTCTTCTGCCATGAACTTTTGCCTCACCTCAGGCCCAAAGCAAGGGAGCAGCCAGCCATGCTCAGAAATCCCTGAAACCGTGAGCCAAAATAAACCTTCCCGCTTCTTAGCTGTTCTTCTCGGGTAGGTGTCACAGTGACGGAGGCTGACAGGAAGCACCCAGCCGGCACACAAAGGTGTTCCAAAGCAGGATGTGTCCTTGTGCACCCTCCAGCAATGACAGATAGCATGCAACAGTCATGATGGCTGCTGCTGTACCAGAGGAAGCAGCAGCCGGGTGTCACAGTGCTGCAGAGACAGAGTCCAAGTCACCCACTACAAAGAATCCTTGACAAAAACAAAACCATGCACCCGATCACACATGGATCCCTGACCCGGGAAAAGAGGGGACAGAGAGACAGCCTTAACTTCAGAGCCTCAACCAAGTCCAGACTGGGGGATGGATGCTCTGCAGAACACCTCTTCCACAGAGAAAGTAAAGAGAGAGATGGGATGGTGGCAGCCACCGCAGACACAATCCCCAGGGCAGCACACAGGTGCACCCATTGCAACACACAGACAGGAGTTTTGAACTAATTATTTTAAAAGTTATGAAATTATTGAGGAATTCTTAACATTAGCTAGATATTTCATTATATTAAGGAATTATTTTTAACTATGACAGCATAAGTTTTCAAAAGACTCCATTATTTTGTGGAGGAACATAGGAAATATTTACAAATGAGTTACAATGACTGGGTGGGGGAGAACCAGGGTGAGTGCAGCTGATGGGTGTGGGTGCACTGGCTGTGCATGGGCTGTTTAATGATGACATGCACACAGGAAACTCGGTGCAGGCCTCAGCAGTCGCACTGCACAAGCACTTACCAGTGTCAAAGGAGCAGTCTTTACTAATGGGTACAAGGACGTGAGACAGGGAGCCGGAGCCCGTCTTCCCCATCCCAGCCAGCTCCACCAGCTGCAGCCGTGGCGTCGTGGCAGGTGGAAAGCGGTAGAACTGGAACGTGAAGTACACGGACTTTGGCCACGGAGCTCCTCGGTGATCCTGGGCCACTCTGCACCCAACAACAGCTCTGATTAATCAGGCAGCCACAGCAGAGTGCCTGGGTGGAATGTAAGCTTGCCTAGGGACACAGTCACTAAAACAGCTTCACTGTGGCCTCAGGAGGGCCGCAGCCACGTCAGGCACAGTGAGTCTCCTGGCCTGAGGGTGCTGCCCCAGAGCTACTCTGACATCTGGGAATCAGGCAAACATCATGCATATTTTAATTAAGGAGAGAAGCCTGGGCAAAGCAGGCTCCCTGGCACTCAGAATAGTTCTGGGTGGGTCCTAGCCAAAGTAAAGTAGAATCAGATGGCAGTTCAAAGGTTCCCAGCACAAAAAAAGGAGACGGGAATGCTAATTACCTGATTTGATCATTACACATAGTATACATATATCCCATCATCACACTGCACCCCATAATACACACAAGTATGTGCTAATTAATTTTTTTTAACGAAGAACAAATTAATCAATTAATTTGAAAAACAGCGCTGCTAGGTCCAACAAGATGTGAACACAGCATCTGCCAGGTCTGCCAGGTCAGAGCCACGTCACAGCTACTCTTCAGCACAAGGAAGCAGGGGCGTGGCAGACAGGAAACTCGGCCGCTACCTGCTGAAGGCAAGAAACTGCAGCACTATTTCATTGCTCTGTAGACAATCCGCTTCTTCCCTTTGAGGGTCGAAGTGCACGGGGTCCGTGGGACTGACAGCTTCGGCAGGCCGCTTGCTGGCATCCAGAATCTCAGGAAAGCCGGAGGACTGCAGGAGAACCATGGTGGCTCTGGAGAGCTGGCTGCCAGAACTGAAACAGACACAGTCCTCAGCCAGCCCGCGGGAGAGGGGCGCAGATGCTCTTCTCCTTCTCAGACAGCTGCTAATCAAAGGCAGGTGTGACAGGGGGCCCTTGCCTGGCCCCACCCGTCCTGGTGCCCACCTTACCTCCTTTGCTGGGGTCCCACAACAATGGGGGCATGCAGAGGGGTGAAGGGCAGCTCCTGCAAAGGTTCAGCAACAGGGGCTTCCAGCACCAAGGGAGTCTGACTAAGGTCGGCTTCCAGATGAGAGATCCCGCCCTCCAAAGGAAACTCCTGCTAAATAAAATGGGATTCCAAGTGAGGCCACCAGGGATGCTCAGGGGGATCCCCCACCAGGGATCCTCTAAGGGGGCTGATGACTACTGCCTCTGTAGGGCTGTCAGCCTCCACCACCACAAGCACAGGAGGCTCAGTTATATTGTAACTGCAGGTGAACAATGACTTTAGTACAAGTATGTTCCATCTAATAATACTTGAGATATGCTTATGCTAACACATTATTTGTTTTGCATCCAAAATCTTAACCGTGACTCCTTTATTTCTCATGATTATCTATAAGTCAAGAAACAGCAAGAGGGGCTGGGGTTGTGGCTCAAGTGGTAGAGCGCTCACTTCGCATGTGTGAGGCACTGGGTTTGATCCTCAGCGCCACATAAAAATAAAATAAAGGTATTAAAAAAAAAAAGAAACAGCAAGAAAGGAACCACCAAGTTTATGAACAAGCCAATACCACTGGGAACATCTGATGCCTGAGATGGAATGTTAACGTCAAATCTCAGAGCTGGCCAGTGCGTCTGGACGCTGCTCTGGCCCCTGCCAGTTCTGAATCTTCTAGTTATTCCCTCTGAGGCAGGTTATCTGGGTGGAGAGGACGGCAGGACTCCAAGCCCCCTCTCCACTGGATCACACTCTCAGCTTCTGCTGAGCATCAGCTCTCACATGATGTCTCAGGCAAAAATAAAAAGACAGCGATCGCTTCACAAACAGGGGAGCTGCAGGGGTGTTTCAGAGCAGGGTGGCATGGACGCTCACATCAGGAGTGCCTGCTAATGCATGACCGGAAGGGACTGTTTTCCTCTGTGCTACCAGCGTGAGACCAGAGGTGCAGAGTGCAGGACCAGCTCTGCAGGGATCCCCACAGTCAGGGGCAGCAGAGGCTATTTCAGCTCCACCTGAACCCTCCCCTAGCAGCCAAGAAGGCCCAGCTCAGCCTCCTCCACCGCCCTCTGCCACCTTCCTTCTCCTTTCACCAACAGACCCGCCAGCAGCTGAGCTCCGCTGGCTCAGGGAAACCAAGCCTGAGTCAATCACCCACCGTGGCGAGAACCACATCTTTCCTCATTCTCCAGGACAGAATGTGCTTCTCCATGAGAAGCACAGAGGGACACAGTGGCCCACCCCACCCATCCCACAGCCCACGTCTCAGAGCCTACTGAGGTCCTTGTCACCTCACCAAGGACCAGCACAGCTCAAAATCCCAAGGCTTGCCAGCAGTCGGGGGGATGTGAGGCAGGAGGCAGCATGGGGGGCACTTACTGCCTGGGGCTGGGAGCCCTCTGGTGACCGTGGAGTGGCTTTGGCTGAGCGGCACTGAGCCGGGGACTGCGGGGAAGTCACCAGCTGAGAAAGTGACAACTGGAAGGCAAGAGAACTCATATCAGCTAATGAAACCCCCTACACTCACACACAGGCATGCGCACAGACACAACACAAATCCAAGGGAACAGAGGACACTCAGAGCCAGCTGCAGAGGGGAGCAACTCCACAGCCTCCTGGTGAGCAGCTGCGTGCAACCTAGAGCCTCTCCTACACTCCCCTCGGCACACAGAGCCGGGACCGTGGTCTCCCAGACCACCATCTGGATAAGAACACATCAGTGAGGAAAAGCAGGCAGACGAGGGCAAGAGTCTCCCCTCCAGGGTGGGCTGGCTAGACCCTTGGGCTTCACTTCCACCCCTGGACTGGATACTTCCAAGCTCCCGTCTGATCCAGTCACCTATGTCCCTGCCCTGTGAGCCTCCCACCAAGACAGTGACTGTATAGGCAGCCGCCACGGGCTCTGGAGACAGATTATCCCACCACCTCTTTATCATGTGACCTTGTGAAGGTCAGCCAGCCTCAGTCCCCTTACTTGTTAAAAAAAAAAAAAAAAAGATGATCATGGCACCTGACCTGCAGGACTCCTGTGAGAATGAATGGGAATCCATGGCAAGGGCCTGGCGTGGGGCCTGGCACATGGCAGGCCTCTAGAAAGGTTTATGTTTATATTTGGAAAATGAATGCCTGGAAAAAAGGCGGGAGGGGGGGGCTGTACTCTACTGGAGATGCTATTTCCAGCACACGCTGCTGTGGGATGCTCACTTTCGGCGGGGACAGCTGGCACAGAGGCCCAAAGGAGGTGCCAGCACAGAGAAGTCAGTGAGAGAAGAGCTGGAGAAGGGAGGGCGAGCAGGATGGCAGGGCATCCTGGCAGCATCTGCAGGGAGCCAGGAAGACCACTCGGTTCTGCTAAGCCCCCGAGACCAGGAGGCACTTAAGCCCTCCCTGTCTGTGGCCCTGAACACTCAGGGCGACGTGGAAACCGCTGCAGGGAACATGCCAGATTAAGCCAGCGGGGGGCCAGGAGGCAGTCCACAGCCGGGCATCTCCAGCACACAGATGCTCCCCTGGGGCCCAGCTCCCAAGCTGTGTGCCCCACACTAGAGCCACTTCCTGCAGACAGCCTGGGTCACCGAATCACTTGACTTTTCTAGAAGTCAACTTCCATGCAGCACTAGCAGACAAAGTCACCAGGAAGAACAAGCCAACTCTGACCTCAGTCAAAATCATGCCGCTAGAGCCACCCAGGGCCACGGGGAGCACCCTGCAGCTCAGTACCACAGCCATATCAGCCACCGAGCATCAAGGCCAAGCCTGGAAGAGCCCTCCTCTGCACACAGGTGAGTCCGGCCCACATAGGTGTGTGCTGCACACCTGTGGCCCTGAGTGCACCAGCATGTGGCCCTGGCCCTCTCTCCTGGCCGAATAGGTCAGGGAGGGGTGAAGACCATACCTCAGTGTCTCCGAAAGAAACAAGAGGCCCTCGGTCCTAAGGGCATCTCCACCAGCAGACATGACTGCCAGGAGAGCACAGCATGTCCTGGAGACACTCAGAGACCTCCGATGGCAGAGGAAGCCACCACCCCGAGAGCCCCACGCTGAGTCAGCGTGTCAGGATCAGGCTACGTGACAAGCTGGGAAGGCACCAGACGCCCCCAGCCAGCGGGCCCCACCTCAGGGATGAGAAGGAGGCAAAGAGTGCTTTCAGGGGTCCACTGGGGCTTATCCTGGAATTCTGAAGTGGATCCCGTCAGGCCTGGACTTACCCCTGGTCCCACAGGTGAGTCCTGGGTGGCCGCAAGACCCTGGGGTGCTGGCACAGGCAGACCTGGGAAGAAGCACAGGAGCTGTCAGCCTCGGGGGTTCAGTGCAGCAGATCCTGACACCTCTCTCCACCCTGCGGACACTAGAGCCAGCAGCAGCTCCGGTGCCGTCCCAAAGCTCAGCAGTTTGCACAGAAGGTGGCAGACGCTCCGCGAGGCTCCGCTGGAGATCAGACTGGAGCGAGCCTGCCGGGCTCCGCCTCACACGCTCTGCCTACCTCCTTCCTCCTGAACTGTGCAGTCTAAGTGTGGCCCAGTGACACAGGACAGTTCTTGGACACTTGAGATCTCTTAACACATCTGCTCTGCTCCCCATCAGTGTTCAAGGTTCGCACACGTTGCTAACTTGGGAGAGTAGGGCTCGCGGCTCCCTGGTCCAACCCACAGAGACAACAGCCCAGACGGTGGCCCCGTTAGTACCCACTGGATACCTTCTGGTCCCTGAGTCCTGTTTACTCCCGGGAGCAGCAAGCTGGGCTTCCCAAGGCCTGCCAAGGAGGGTGGAGGCCGGCTACTTACACCATCCCCCTGGAGCAGGCGGCGGACAACGTCTTTGACACTGGAGAGGCCAAGGCTGCTGCCCCAGAGCCTGGGGCCACCTGCACAGCAAGCGGCCTCCCGCAGAGCCCCCAGCGCCTGCCACAGCAGGGGTGCTTCCAGGCCAACCCACCCACAGCCACTAACCCTCATAGGCTCACACACGCCTCTGCCTTCCCCCACTGTGGTCACCACCTTCCGTTGACAGTGGAGCCCAGCCTAACAAGGCACCTCTGTGCCCCGGCCCCGGAGGACAGGTTGCAGCCAGCACAGGATGTGAGCCCTGGGCACTGGCCTACAGTGAGGCCCTGCTGCTAGCCCTCAAGGGACAGCTGTCTTCAGGCTGTGGCCTTCCAGTTCACTGCTTTCATCTTCATGGGGACAGACTCTGCCCACCCCCTGACCTTCCAGAATCACCCAAACCTCCTGAGAAATCAGGTCGCCTCCCCAGGGTCTGGCCCAGCCACATGTGGCCACCAGGCACGCCCTGGCTCCCCTCCCTCCCCTGCGCTTTTGCTCCCCAGGTTCCCACAGGGCCTACATGTGCCATGAAAGGTCAGGCAAATGGCTCTTTCAGACGTTCCTGGAATCCTGTCCTCAAGGGCACGCAGCTCGGGGCGGGCACATGTTCACAGTGCAGATGCCATCCACACAGAGATGGCCAGCAACTTCCTGTCCCAGTCTGGACCACAGCAGAACAACCCAGAGACTGTCTGCCAGAAGGACCAAACCCAAGAACAGCACCCAAAGGAGCACCGCCAGGCCCACTGGCCCACGAGCCGCTGGCCCCACCTGGGCTTCCACAGTCCCCTGGGAGGTGGCCGGCTCACTGTAGGCTGAGGCCCTGCTGGAGGGGATGGCCAGAGGGAGTGCTGCAGCCCAAGTGACCTGGCCACCCAGCCCGCGGAGGAAGTGCCCGCTCAGGGGCCCCATCCCCTGTCAAGCCAGTTAAATGGGGTTCCCAGGAGCCCTCAAACAGTCTTGTCAGGAGAGCCTGCAGCTCCCGAGTGCACTCCCCGGCTTCTGAGGGAGCAGGCAGACCAGCCCGAGCCTGGCCCCCAGGAAGGCTCCTCACCAGGAGCAGCGGAGGGGTGCCGCCGACCCCACCAGCCCCCAGCTGCACCTCTCCACAGGGTCCTGGGCATCTGCTGCAGCAGAACCCCTCCACCTGCTAAGAGCCCGCAGTGAAACAGGACATCTGCCAGAGCACGTCTGCTTTGTTCCACCCAAAATGGGGTCTCGGAGAACTCCGCAGGATGATTTTGGTAACGAGGAAAAATTGCAGGAAATGGTCCCATTATCTTCAGCTAAGAGAAGGCCGGCACTTAGGAGCCGTGCTCCGAGCATCCTGCAGGCGAGGAAAACCTGAGTGTTGAGAGACTGTTCCACCGAAGCACGCCGAGCATCCTGTGCCCTCCCCCAGTCTCAGATTCAGGCACGATGCGCTATGGATGTTCAGGTGGTTCTTTATATTGTGACTTATTATGCAATTGTACCTTCCAAGAGAGCAAAACAGCCTAAAAGAGGGTCCGGCAGTCTTTGGAAAAGACACCTGCTACAAGCCCCAGGCTAGAGGGTCAAATCCACACCCCCCCAGGAAAACATGGGCTGAGAGGAATACACCAAGACCACAGAATAACTCATTTTCAAATCTTTTCATCTTAACACTGACAAAGTGGCCACTGGTTAAGCTGCTGCTTCCTGCCCAGAGAACACCGAGTGCTCAGGCAGTGCCCCCCAGACCTCCTGCTCGACGGCCAGCCTGGCGGAGAAGCCCAACTCCCCAGCACACCAGTGTATGCTGGGAAAGCAAACAGGACCCAAGGCAACATGTGTGGGCACAAGGACACACGAGCAGGTGCCTCCCTGTGCCCAGGGACATGTGCAGAAACACCCAAGACAGAGCAAGAAGAGCAACACCTTGCAAGTACAGCAAGAACCCCTGAAAACAGGTGCCTAAATAAAAGCTGGCACATGGCCATGCAGGACAGAGGAGGTCAGCTGGGCAGTCCAACACGTGAGGACAGCAGGACAGGTTTAAAGTGAAAAGAGTGAGAGGCTGACCACTCAGAGGGTGTGACCCCATCTACATTAAAGAAAGAGAGGGAGGAACTGTGTGGCAGGCTGCCGTGAGCCCACTGAAGCTGCGTGGTATGCCAGGGGCTCTCCCTGCACCTGTGCATCAGCGTGTCTTCATACAGTACCTGTAGGACGACAGTTCAATGGTCATTAGCAGAGCCGAGAGACACAACGGCTAAACCAATGACACCAATTAGCAGCTGCTTCTCCCCAAAGAGTGCAGTGGAGGCCGGGCTCCAACCCCAGGGCCAGAGTCAGTGTCTGGTCCAGCACAGACTCCGTTCAGGTAAGTGAGCCGGACATGAAGAGGAGCACAGGGACCCAGAGACGCACTTTTCTGCAGTCACACTGAGCAGCTGGGAGGCCACCAGCACCAAGAAGGGGCAAGAGGGACTAAATCGGTGGTTCATGACACTGTAGTAGACCGCTGGCCGGAGCAGCCCCTGTTAACTGCTGGAGACAAGGGGGGCCCCCCGGCAGCAGGTCCTGCCTCCTATCTGAACACTAATTTTCCCTGACACTCCATTACTCTCCAATCAGTCTCCACACACCACAAACCGCTGTCAACAAAATCTCGACAGTCCACTCCAGTTATGTCGGGTGAGCTCTGCGAAGCTCAGGCACCCACACTTGACTTAACACAGCCCTCAGGAGGCCAGACGACTCCAAGCCGAGCGGGCACATGTCCCACCGAGTCACACAGAGACCCAGGCTTAATGCAGCCTCTGCCTTCTGCTCCGGAAAGGAGCGCTCCTCGTCGGTGTTCTCCAACAGCACTGTGGATGAACAGAATGGCAAAGGCTACACCATGACACCATACTAAATTCCAGGCGGCGAGAACTCCCAAGGTACCTGAGCCCCTGTACCCTGGCCTGTCCTCAACAGAGGTGGTCCTGATGATGCATGTTGGACAGAGAACACTAAAGAACTCTGTTGCTCAGAACAGCCACATGAGAAGCACAGCCAGAGGTCTCTCCAGGCATGCCCATCAGCCCCGCTCACCGCCGTCCCACAGGAAGCAAGCCAGTGTAGGGCTCCGCTCCTCCAGCAGGTGGCTCCACTAGCAGCACACAGGGACCAGGACTGGCGCACAAGGTGAGCGCCCGCAACCCCCTCATTCCCAGGTTAACCACAGGAGGCGGACCAGGGGAGGGGGGCTTGGTTTTTGTCTCCTGAACTAGGGAGCTACTGAGTGACCATTTGTCCTCTCTAGCTGGACCCTTCTTGGTATGCAAATTAACACACACCAAAAAAAGTTAAAACAGAAATAAGGCAAAGGAAGGAGAGTGCTTTCCCACCCCTACCTCCTACGCTCACTGATCACCTGCCTGCCTTGCACAGCCACAGCAAGACACAAGACCAACAGCTAAGAGGACAGGGGGCAGCCTCTGGCGTCCCAGGAAACTGTGGAGGCAGAGGCGCCCGTTCTGGAGACGTGGGTATGGTCCCCTGGGCATCTTCCCAAGGGCCTCATTGGGTAGGAGGCCTCACTGGACCCTTTACCTACGAATCCAAGCTGCCTTCCTGAGACACCTGCAGCTGAGGGACAGAGACCACAGCAGGCGGGCCAGGGACCTGATGGAGGAGAACATTCAGTTTGCAGAACAACTGCCCAGTACCCTCAGGTGACTAAAGGGCCAGTTACCCCAGGGGAGAGCAAGATCCTGAAGGAGGAGTGGGAAGGGGCAACCCCAGGAGGCTGCTGCCTAGCAGCTCGCAGCAGCCCCTGCCAAGCCAAGGAAAGGCCACCTGGGCAGCAGAGGAGCCTGTGGCCACACAGCAGGGTATGGGGGAGGCACCACTGTCCCAGACGCATCTCTGGGATCTAGAGAAAGATGCCCAAGAGCAGTTTCCAGCCACCAGACTGTAAAAATAAGGATGGGGGCTCGGGATGTGGCTCAAGTGATAGCGTGCTCACCTGGCATGCGTGAGGCACTGGGTTCGATCCTCAGCACCACATAAAAGAAAATAAGATATTGTGTCCACCTAAAACTAAAAAATAAATATTTTTTTTTAAATAAGGATGAATCCGTCTTTAGCAGTACCTCAACTAAAGGGCTTTGCCCCTACTTCTAGATAAAGAGTGGCTCTTCCTCAGACTCTGATGGCAGGAATGGGAAATGGGGAAAATCCAAGATGAGATAAAGGGAGACGTGGCAATGGCGTGGGTCTCCCTGCTGAGCGACACAGACCACAGGGAGCCAGGGGACAGCGTGCCCCATCTTGGTGGACTAGACCCAGGTGGACAGGGGATGTTCCACAGCCTGCCAGAGCCCTGCACCGGGCCACCTTCGGGGTCAGTGTCAAAAACATCACAGCCCTCGCCAAAGCCACACCCGCCCTGAACCACACCCTGGCTGCTCTTCAGCAACCCGCACGCACACGCCCAGTGACCAAGGGCGGCTGTCACTCTCCTGCCGCTGTGTGACTGACTGGACTCCCCTGAACCGGGGTCAGCGCTGCCTGTCGGAGAGGACATTCCACCAGGAACAGCACGGCAGGCAGGCTGGGGCACAAGGGCAATTCCACATGTCCCAGGAAACACGACAGCTGCACGTGTCTGACAGCCCCTGCTACAGGGCTCTTTTCAAAGCTCTAAAGCAAATGATCCAAAATTCTGGCACCCCTGGAACATTCAAAAGCAAAATACGGGTCAAGGAAATTCTCAAGTTTATAAAACATAACGACGGAGTGCCCTCTAGTGGCTCTGTGCACACTCTCTCCCTGTAGGTGATGAATAGACCTCTGCTCCCTGGCAATTTTATAGGAAAAATAAAAAGGATTATTCATAACGGAAAGCCAAAGTACCTCACTTAAAGTGACAGCCACATATCGTTAAGACTTCCAGAGGAGCCGTACAAGTTGGTAAAATATTGAAGTAGGAAAGTTTCCATCATCAGTTAAGCACTCGTGGCTGTTTGAGCCTCTTAGATGGGTCTTGGGAGGCAATGTCTTCAAATGCCTGGAACCTGAGCTGGAGGCGATCATATTAACACAACACGAAGGCAGCAATAAATCCAAATTAAAGAAGCCAAATGAAATCAGGTTCCATCCGTGTGGATCAGCAAGTCCCACAGCAGCTGAAGCACACATGGTGCTACTATGGTTCATCTGTACAGCGGCTCCATTTCTGACCCTTCCAGTAACCAAAGCCGACACCTCTCTGCAGAGGACGTGATGATAAATCTCTAGGTAAGGACCTACAGGTGCGCACCCAGTGGCTCTGCATCTCAGGCAGTCTCACTGCTGCCCCATGTGCCCAGGAGAATAACTCGCCCCTCTGGCCACCAGCATGGGGATGAACTGCAAGCTGCTCTGTGGGGGCCACTCTGTGGGGGCCACTCTGTGGGGGCCACCCTGAGGCCTCTCCCCTGGCCCCACAGCACTGCTTGAGCCCTGAGGCCACTCCCTGCCCAGGTCTAGAGGGCTGCTGGAGGGCAGGCCGCTGCTCCCTGGCTTTGTCCTTCCCTGTGGGAAGGACAGAACAGCAGCATCGTCTCAGGGACAGCACGTGAGTGTGAGGATCCAGCCGTGCCTGACATCAGCTCTGCCTCTGAGCTTCCTGTCAAGGGATGGCCAAGGACACCTCTCCTGTGGGAAGACAGGCAGAACTCGAGTACCCACTCATTTGACAACTTTGCATGCTGGGCAACCCAGCAGTGCAGCAATGTCGGGAAGGGCCCAGGATGGGGACCTGGGGCTCGGCCCATCTTCCACAAGGCCACCAGCCCCTGCCAGCTTTACTCTGCCCCAACCCATGCTCTCTCCTGATGGCTTTCCTTTGGGGAATCACCCTCCAGCCCTTGACCACACAATAAGGGACAGGCCCAACCTCCACACCACAAGCAACATGTGACACAGGACCTTCTGTCCCCAGCCAGGTCTCCATTGGTCATTACAGCATGCAGGCAGGTGACACTGCAGAATGAGGGGCTCTGTCTCAGGACTCCACGGGAACAACTGGACAAAACAAGTGCTCTGCTGGAACCGCTAGGCCCAGGGAGAGCCCTGGAGCTGGGGGTCACCACGGCGAAGGAAGCCACATCTAAGGAAGGAGAGCTGAAGGGCCGGAGGAGGACAGCACGTGACTGTGAGGACCCAGCCGTGCCTGACATCAGCTCTGCCTCTGAGCTTCCTGTCAAGGGATGGCCAAGGACGCCTCTCCTGTTCCTTCCGAGTTAAACCACCCTAGCACACACAGGAGTTCTGATCAGACGCCTCTCTCCATGCCGCACAGGGCCAGGATTCCACTGGGTAATGCAAAGTAACAAGACAGCCTGCGGGGAGATGCACCACGGCAGTCTAGGCTGCACAGACACCTGCCTCTCGTCTCCTCTGTGCATGAGAGAGGCTTCCCAGGCCCCTGAGCCTGGGTGGGCGTATGGCTATGTGCAGCCAACAAGGTGGGAAGAGAGCAAGTGTCACTTGTGGGCCACAATCCTCGCTGACGGAACAAGGTCCTTTCAAGGCCTCCCTTTCTGTCTGGCTGGTGAACAGCAATACTCAAGATGGCAACTGCCATGTAGGCCCATGACAAGCAGAGCCACCTCCAACTGCAACCAGCACATAGTAAAAGATAAAGCCTTTCGTTTTAAACCCCAGATTTGGGGATTATTTGTTACCAAGCAAACCTGACTAACGTAGTCCAAAAATAGCAGACAACATGCTATTATAAAAAATAAACAGTGGTATCTCCAAAGGCCATGGGATGCTGGAGAAAAAGCTCTGTCACAGACAAGACCCTCGAGCTGAGCTTCAAAGACCAGAAGTTTCCATAAGAAAAGGCAAGAAGGGTTTAATAGATACATATGTTTTTTAATATGGGGATATTTAAAACACTCCCAAATTCTGAAAGCAAACAGGGCTGCATGCAGCTCAGTGGTACAGCACCTGCTTACCATGCATGAGGCCCTGGGCTCCAACCCCCACACCAAAAAAAAAAAAAGCAAAAAACAAAACTATAAAATGGGGCCCAAACTCTACTTGGAAAGAAAGCTTAAAACTATAGAACTTTTACTGTTAAACATGATAGATGGGGGGATAGGGAAATCGCTCAATTGGTAGAGTGCTTGCCTCACCTGCACAAGGCCCTAGGTTCAATCCTCAGCACACACACAAAAAAAAAAGTGGATGGGAAGGATGAGAAATGATTAAGCTTTCAATTTTCTAAAAACCTGAAGAAACTGAAAGGATGGAATTAATATAGAGGCACATAAAATTAAAACTGAATTGATTAGAAATAAGGATAAAAACAGAAACTTAAAGGAACCAATCAGTAAAACCAAGTGCTAGTTCTTTAAAAAACTAATGACGTCTGGGAAGAGCCCAGTGCCAGGAGGACACCAGAAAGGAGTCTCGTCACAGTCTCAAGTCAGAATTCTAGAACTGAGGGCAACTTTATCCCAGCAGCTCTATACCAGGCGAGATCAGCAATGGCTGCATTGCTCCAAAGTCAGCTCCAAACGGGAGGAAACCAAAACAGATCAATACTCTTAAGAAGAAATGTAAATGGTCATCAAAAACCCTGCAAGGGCTGGGGTGGTGGCTCAGCGGTAGAGCACTCGCCCACCACATGCAAGGCCCTGGGTTCGATCCTCAGCACCACATTAAAACAAGTAAATAAAATAAAGGTGTTGTGCCCAACTACAACTGAAAACCAAATTAAAAAAAAAAAAACCTTCAAAAGGCACCAGGTTCCGGGGGGCAGAGGCGTCTCCCCGACCTCCCAGCAGCAGGTCTGCCTCCTGTTGGAACTACTTTAAAGCAGGAAAAGATGGGAAGCTGCCTCCCGATGAAGAAAGAGGAAGGAAAGCTAAGACTCGCATCTGCAGGCCCAGGTCAGACTGGGAGTGTAAAGGAAGTTCTGCTGGAACACAGCCATGCCCATTGTCTTCTGTCATCTGACGGCTTTGGGGCACACCAGCAGAGTCCAGCAGCTGAGGAGAGACCGCCTGGCCCGCAAAGCCTGAGTAGTTACTAGGTGGCCTCTACAGAAAACAAACCGCTGGCCTTGGCCACGGGTGAGCCTCAGTTCTAGAAGCAGAAATCCTGAACACACGT